GAAAGAAAAGGTTAAACCTAGGAAGACGTGTCGCTAAGTTTAGTTTTGATGTCTCTACCCTACAGGGAGCATGCACCCTAAGTCTAAGTTATCTAAGACTCGGTCCTTAATTTTTGTCCTTAAATGTCACTAGAGTTGTAGGACTAAAAGATGTGTTATTTTCTGACCCTTAAGACTTTCGTACGTGTCACTAAGTTCATGGATCTGTGAATAAAAGTACTATAATAAGTAGCAACGCAGTAGAAAGAAAAGAATGAAAATTAAAAATAAAAGGAATGTAGGCATTGTAGTTATTGGGCACACTTCTGTGAAGTCAAGTGTGTCCAAAAGCAACATTTACAATGCCCTTTGCTGTTCCCACATTCCAAATAAAGCACTTGATACATTACATGACTCACTTACATGAACCATTCTCCAAACAAACTTGAAACGGCGAGGGAAGCTCAAGTTCCCAAAACTAGAACTAAAACTAGATCTCTTTCTACCCACCACATTCTTCCAAACTTACATCTTAGAAGCAAACATTAATGAAAGAGAGACAACCTATGCAAGATAAATCACTTCATCGACTAAGAGATATCATTTCATCCAGAAGAAAGCTCTAAAGAATCTACCAATACAAAATCCACTCTACAAAAATTATTAAACCCAAATCTAGCTTGTGAAATTTTTCTTTTGTCTTGTTTGAATGAAAAGCTACAAAACACTTTATATAAATCATTTACTCGAAATCACGAAAAACTCCACATAAATCGTTTACCAAAATCCTTTCGACGCAAAAGACAATCAAGTGCTTTTTTACTATATTTGGAGTGGAGTAAATTCATGAAAATCTTCTAGCAAGAAGTCTTCATGAGATTCTCTATCATAAAACATTCACAAATCACATAATAAAACTCAATGTAAAATGATTCGCAAAGCCCTTTCGTAAAACTTTCAATAATATAGCAACTTACAAAACTTTCACATGAAGCAAACTCATAAAACTTTCCACCTCGAAGCACTCCATGGAGCTTTTCAACGTATTTCTACCATATATACTTCATGACATCAAAATACAAAAAAAAAAAAAAAAAAAAATTTATTTTAAAAAAAAAAAAAAAAAAAAAAAAAAAAACATTTATGTTCAATGTTAAAACACCATAGAATATATGCACATCTTCAAATACATGATTTTTGCTATATAAACATGAACACGATCTTTCCAACATAAGACCACTTATAATAAAAATTTTTCCATCTTGAAGTATATTTTTTTTTAACAAGCAGCAGATCTTGAAAATTTCTCCAACATAAAAGAAAAAAAAAATCACAATGGCAATATTTCTGAAACTTTCCAATATAAGACACACACACATATATATATACATTAAATATATATCAGCTGTTAAAGCCTTTCCAACATAAAGCAAAACTATAGAATTTTTCAAAAATAAAACAACTCATAAAGCCCTTCATAAGGTATCCAACAATAAAGCAACTCTCAATGCCTTTTACTACAAAATCACTCTCTAAAATTCACATAAAGCACCTCTTACAATACGTAAAAGGAGACAATGCAAATTTCTTTTCTAACCATCATATAACACCATGCCAACCACTTTATATCACAACGAACTACAAATGCATATATCAAGCCTTGCAAAAGATCATAAGTCCTTTCCCCATAAAGCAAATAAAAAATCCTTGGTCATTTGCGGCTTTAACTCAAAAAGTTTCTCCAAAAGTTTCTTCTTTCTCAAACCATGAAAATGAGATCATCTACACATGAAACCTTAAAGCACAGCAATGTACATGTCATCCTTGGATAAATGATATCTCACAAGTATATGTACATCTCTTTTCACTTTGCGATAAATAATCATTTGTAGGATGATAAAAGAAAATGTATGTAAATTTCTCTAACCGTCGAGCATCAACCAAATGTATATATAAATGTACACAAGCATCCTACCATAATATAATTATTTCCTTTGGAATTTGACATGCTTCTAATCGAATATGGATCGTATGAGCGCGTGAGTAAGCTGCTTAGGCATGTTTCATGATGACGGTTTAAGAAAACCGATTCATAAAAGTACCCCATAATCTCTCTAAAGAAATCGGACTTATCTGAATATAAGTCTACACATGTGTTTCCTCAATCACATACAAATCATACAATAGTTATGACAATAGTTTAAGGAAATTTCATAGCTAAAGAGAAGAGGTGGAGAATGAATGATAAGCTTAACGCATCATTGACTTTCTTTGAGTATAAAGTTCTACTTAAGCATCTCTGCACAATAGATACATAGAATTAACTATAAGACTTCACACATCATGCTTCATACTCCACATTGCAATAAATTATGGTGACTTCATTAACCCACCAAGATGTAAAGCCTCAACTCAAACAAAGCCTCACAACCCTTTTTTTTTAACGACATTCCATCAAACGATAGATATGCAGTATCCATAGGATTTTTTTTTTTATGAAATAAGTTGAAGTAGAAATCATCACCTTATAATCACAAGCCATCACAAATCTCCATACTCATGCTTTAGTGAAATCCCCACAAAAAAAAAACTTATTTAAAGTTTTACCAAAATTCTGGAATGAATAAGAGCAACTATAATCATCCAAGACTTGGCATATCCCCTCATGACTTCTACATGAATCCCATTATCATGCCGTTATCACAAGAAATGAAGTTCAAATATCTATAATTGACCAAACTTTCATATTACATAAAGAATCAACCCCGATACAAATATTTGATGCTCAGAACATATGATCTTTCATATAATGTCATGGGTGAGACATCCCCAATATGATGAAGGCATGAGTAGAAAATAACGTGTTCACACAAAAAAAAAAGTTAAATGGCATTGGAGTCCTTCCAACCAAATCATCAATGCTCACGAAGATCTTTGGCTTAAAAGAAGAAATATTTGTATAACTACAAGCTTTATAAGTTATGATCATTGTAAGGCTTCAACTCAAACTAAAACGTCACAACCTTTGTCTACACCTTATAAAATTATTCATTCAAGAGAGAGTGTCTATAAGAACAAGGTTTCCACACAAGCAAAGCTAATGATTATCATGTCATTTTACTAAGAC